TTTCTCTCGTTGTGTGGTGATCATTCTTGATTCAATAAAGATATTGAATCTACATTCTCTTTGCTTCACCAACACCAACAAATTGAAGAGAAGAATTAGGAAAAAAATACATAAAGTTGATATTAAAGTTGTACAAACCATGTTTTCAGGCATACCAAAACAGCTTCGACGGATTGCTGATAAAAGACCTTATGAAGCCTGTTCTTTTTGATTTTTTGTACAGTAGCATTAGTACTTTTGTTATATAGGAAAAATAAAAAATGAAAGTTTGTTGTTCGAAAAAAACGGATAAAAAAAATTTGTCTCAAAACTTATGCAACAGGGGTTATTTTATCCTGCGTTTTGCTTATGAAATAGAGCTCACAGTAAAAACCAAAATTTGCAGCAAATTGTTGAAGAAGGACGGTTTTAGCCAGTGGCTTCTTGTAATGAAAACTTGGTCGAAACCCCAACAGTTTTATATTAAAATGCTCGTCTTAACGAGCTCTTTCTGATGATGTAAAATTCATAAGGGGTTAGTAGGCAAAATAAAAATGGGCCGATTCGTGGTCTTATGCGCCTCCGTCCTTTCTATAACACTTGAAAGTTTTGTATCGATTATCTGAACGGTTTGTATTTTACAACAAGATGAAATGTTGATTACGTTCGCACCAGGAAGTCCTATTATTTACGAAAGATATCAGAAGTACTATATTTGTTGTGAAAGGTTTGGATATGTAGGCAGACAATTCTGAGCAAGTTCGTAGGAGAACGTCGAATCTATCTGAGAGATTCGAATGTTTATAAAAATTCCTCTCCTATTCTCCAAGTGCATCCAAGATATTCCTCGATCTTTTTGAAAAATAATTCGAGTCAAAGCATCAATGCTCAAAGAAAACATCAATATAATAATTAGTAACGAGTTACGCCGTTTCGAGCAATTTTGTTTTGATTGACATTCGAAATCATGCACTTCAAAATCAATATTCATCCAGGATTGAGTTTGTATTTTGGTCTCGGAACGATGTGACCGGATAGGAATAAATAAGCAAAGATGTATTTTATCAGTGCACACAGCACGTAATTAAGTTCGATGATTTATTACACGGCCTAGGACATCCATTATGCGACTAATACAAAAGTTTTTAATTGACATTTAATCTGACGTAATGAGTGATTTGATTTTATACAAGCAAAAGAGCAAAACGATTGACGCAAATAACAGTATGCGAGAGAAGTAGGTGTTGTCATGAGTCGCCCGTATATAAAGACGAGTTTCTATGATTATACCATTCAAAATTTTTCTTCGATAAATGCAGTATACGTGTAATCTGGCCTCTATTTGATTTCGTGTGAGCACCTAACAAAATACTGTTTCGTGGAAATCTGTACTATGAAAATCAGTGTTTTCATCATTGTAGTCCTGTCAAGATCGCCCTGTGTAGAATGGATAAAAAGCCTTTTCATGAAATGAATTTCAATTACTTAATTATGGAGTTAATAATTTTTCTTATTATTTTAGAGCACACATTTCTCATTGAACATAGTCATTTCGATCATCATATTTTAATCAACATCGTACGAAACACAAATGGCTTCAGTAAAATCTCAAATCATTGATTTATTAGAAAGGAAACTTCTTTCCATTCATGCATCATCACCTAGTGATATGTATGCTACATATGGACAAAATGTATTACTGGAACAAATTCAAGAACGCATACAACTCAACGAATCGATTGCCTTTCTTCTACCTGGATTTCCATTCAAATCTCCTAATCCAAATAAGGTATCTGGAAGATTACCTGATGGGGGTGACGTATATGCACTTGAATATCTTAACGAGTTTTGCCGAGAGGTCAGTTTTATCTATGAACACGGTTGTGAACTGCTAATATGGTCGGATGGTCGAGTGTTCAATGATCTTATTGGTGTTTCGAACGAAGATTTGATTACATACGAAAATCTTATCAAGCAGTATTCAGCAACAATGACTCATTTTAAATGGGATAACATGGATGCTCATATTGAAAGTCGAAATGGTGATGATCTTGTCAAACAATACGGAACAAGTTCATTCAATTTCGAGCAATGGCTAAAAATGTCACCGAACAATCAAAAAGAGTTTATTCACCTTAGAAGCTTCTTAGAAAATGACCTGGGGCAAACAAGTTTGCGAAAAACTCTTTCACGGAAAAAATTCAAACAGGCGATGTCTTGGACAGCCGAACAAATGATTACCCGAAATAATGCACTGACAAACCTTTTGAAACAACACTATCCAAATCATATTCGTCTATCTATTCACCAACATTCAAATAATGGAGAAAAATTTACCATTCAATTTTTTGCGAATCATTCAATCAAATCAGATACTTTTAGCCTTCGCACACCATGGCACAATGTTCTTGTAATCAGCACAGATGGCGCTCGGAATCTGCTACCGCTTTTCAAAGTAAAGTTGCAAAGTGAGCATGTTCCATTGATGTACAAAAATCAAATTTGGTGTTACGTTCAACTACCTCAAACATCACTCGTTGAATCAGTACCTATGTTGAAATTGTCCTTACTTGGTGACTCAACTCGTTTTGGCATAGCGATCGATCTCGATAAACAAATTGAAGTATTTCAATTAGATGTCACATGGATGAAGATGTTACTAAATACATTTGGTGTTGTTGTTATTCGACGATGTAAAACATCCCTTGATAAGGAGAGCTACTCTCGCTTTTGCGAACAATATGGCCCACCCGTCGTTTGGAACTTTGGTTCATTGCTTGTTTTAAAGCCTGTACTCACCCCTGAAAGCGGCCATCAATCTCGAGAGTCAATGCCATTACATTTCGATTTATGCTATCCGCCAGAATATTTACTCAAAACAGGTTTATACGAAGATTATGTACCACAATATTTTATGTTATATTGTGTCAAAGCTCCAGTCGAAAACGGTGGAGGTAAAACAAATTTCGTTAATGGACGCCTTCTACTAGAATCAATGGATGAAAAAGAAATACAACACTGGAAAACGACAAATATTTCCAGTTCAACACCAAAATCGTACTTTGGTGGAAAATCATTTACATATCCTATTGTAATGTCGCATCCAAGAACAAATGAAAATATTTTGAGATATCTGGAAACATCAACTACTACTTATCAGCCAGTTGAAAATATACATTCAATCAATGGTGATTCGAAAGCTATGGAATCCTTCGATGAATTCAACAAGGAAATGAAAGAAAAAATGCGCGACCCGAAATGGTATTTGGAACATACATGGGCTGATGATGATTTAGTTTTGATTGAAAATCATCTCTTATTACATGGTCGAACGGCTATCAGCGAAGAAACGGACCGTGAACTGTGGAGAATACAAGTTTATTAACTTTTGCTGAATACATTGGACAGAAATAAAATAATATGATTTCCAAAACACATTCGAAGAATATATTTAAACTCATTCCTTCTTTTGAAAAAAGCCTTCTCTGATAATCTATTCCCTTCGAAATAGCAACCGACTCTAAACAACAGTTTTAATGAAGGAAAAAACAAACAGATTCCTCTCATTGATACCCTTGATATCAGAGTTTCCGTACAAAGGTACATTCCTGAAAAAGACAAACAACGACAAGTACCAGTGAAGAACCTTGACCTTTTACAATAGTACACGACTCATCTCATGATCTTAGTAGTTTTACGTACTATAGTTTCCTCATAAGCTTCTACATGTATATATTCCCTTACACCAATCTCAGATATGTATCGCTTTTAGTCAATCATTCCTTTTGATTCTGTAGTCTAAATCCAAAAATATAGCCTAGCGTCGTTAGCCATTCGAAAGTCGAGGTCGCGAATAGCAAGGATTTGCTCGAGGTACATATATACTAAAAATGAGGCTTCGAGATATTATTTTAGCTCTCCTTCAGACACTGTTTCTATCAAATTTTGATAGTGGCACTATCCTACAGGGCCGAAGTGGGAGGACCTCAGTACAAATGACAAACTGCAGTATATAGACGAAAGCGTGTGTAATGCAATGAAAAAAGAAAGACAACAAATTGAGAGAACTCCATTTTCTGCTTATTTTTTCTTCTCATATCCTGACAAGAGCTCAAAGTGCTATTTAGAGTTGAAATTGATATTTTTCTAACCAAACAGAGATGTAATATGCGCATTAATGTTTTGAATACACTTAGTCTCTCGATTACATGTGGTCAGTGATCACGCCGTCGTTTAGCTTTACATCTTTTCTTGTCATTCGATGCATTCTCCGTCATTCTTCTATCAATTTCTTGTTTAGATTTTGACAAGAGGGAGAAAAGCTGCTTTTTTCGGATTCCCTTCAATTCTCTCGGATTTTTAAAAGACATGAGTATCTGAGACACATCTTCTCCCTGTGTACAAATCGAAATGGTTTCAAGAAAATCCCATAGAATCTAGAAGAATCCAAGAGAACCCAAAAGAATCCATAGAATCCGAGAATCCAGGATCCGCTGTTTCCTCTTGGGTTTTGATGATCGCTCTGGCACTACTTTTCTGGTATCAATCTAACTTCCAAGCTCCAGTAACTACTGTCTATGGTTATCTGCTTCATGTTCGGTCCACTGGCCGGCTTTCCGAGAACATTCTATAAAAAAGAACACCAACGGTAAACGATATAATTCTGGGGCCAAAGTTGGAGCCAAAATTGCCTATCTCTAGTAAAATACACTTCGGCCTTCTCAACAAAAGACAAGAATTCCCGGGATATCATTCGATAAAAGTCAATATATACGACACATTAATACAACGCGATGATGCATTATTTTTACTTAATTTTGTCCTACACTCTATGTTATTTCTGATACTAATATATGTGAACTAATGCATATTACGTTTTAAACATCAAGTTAGAGATATAATTATACATAAATAAATACTGTATCGCACTTATAAACAAGTGCGCTATATGTGCACGTGTGTAGTTTGATCGCACATCTACAAGAAAGACAAGATCACACAATCAGAAATAACGAATGATATATCAGTACGCCAATAACAGTATGAATATACTTGTCGACTACAGATATTCCCTTGCTTACACACTTACAGTTCGGAAAAATTCCAACAAAATCTATCCATGACCAAATATCTGGAAACCGGTAGAAAACGAACAGATGCGAGCGTACTTTTGCAAACATGCGAAACCTTAATTTTCCGCACCATTCCTAATTCCTGTTACTTTTCTCTGAATTCTGTGAATGATCCGTGGAGTAGATTTTTGAGCGAATTAAAATCGAATTTTTAATTCTCTTCAGAGTCTTATCATTTTTGGCATGTTGATGATATCTGCTCCTTTTTGTATGCTTTTAGTCGCTTTAAGTGTAGTTTCTTAGCCGTGGGATACTATTTCTAAATTGGTTGGGCGTTTTGAAGTTGCTTTCTGGGATACGGTCGGACATGACGGGGTTCTCGTAGAGTTCTGTTCAAATTTGGACGCAAGAACGTCCGCCCTGGGAATACACTGTTCCTAAAGCAGTTAATCGCATTCTGTAGTCTCAACGCTTGTACACTTCAAATCACCGAACACATCATCTGACTAGAAGCTAATAAACTTAGGATTTGATTCCAATAACGTTCCCAAGAAGAAAATGACCTTCTCCACATTCGGAAAATATGTTTCAAGGTCGTTATCGCAATGAGCTACATTCATATACGCTCAAAGAAAATTTGATATGCTGAAGGCCAACGTGGAAGGTACTCTGTAGTATAGTCATGCCTCTGAGTGTGGACGACCTTAACGGTTGAAAAGCGGATGATCATTTTAAATTTTTTATACTCAGCAGTGTTTGGTAGTATTTCATACGAACTTTCCTGGAGTTACCCATTTCCCTGCTACCATTCTTCCAATTGATCTTGCTAATTACATAGAAAAATAAATAAAATGACGCTTCGTTATTCTTATTTTGTGTTGCACTAGATAGACAAGAATATCTAGACACGGATGAATTCACATACAAAGTTATGCTTCTAACCTTTAGACGTCTGCGAAAGAAATCTAAGTGTATAGGTATCGAACAATTTCTTTCGCGGATGCCAAAACGTTCTCATTGTTCACTCTAGAAGTATGCTAACACTTAATCTATCTATAGAGTGCACTTCCTACAGTTCTCCCAAAACTGCTTTGTCAAAATACGTAATTTGGAAAGTTCATAGAAGCAAAGGAGTACGGTCCAGATATTGTACGTAGCTTAGAGATGCAACGATGCCATCGACCATTTTCACCCTCAGTGCATTAGAAACAATCACATCAGTCGTTTTTACTTATCATCTAAACACTTCTATGCTCAAAAGATACGTTGACATTACTTCAGTGGTCGACAGCATGAAGTCTCGGTGTGCCTACCGATTTTTTGGGCCAGTTGTTAAGAGGATTAAATGATAAATATTTAGCGAAACCGGTGAGTATATGATGAACCTACAATATTGACCGACGGATTAATACTAACGCATCTTTTGAGTATTGAAGTATTTAGATGATGAGTAAAAATGACTAAAATGGTGGTTTCCCTCGTCATCTGTCTTCACAGTTTTTGCAATATCACGGTTTAATGTAAAGATTCCGAACATTTTCAACATGAAATCTCCTATTTCCCGTGCGTCATAGGATTTTTTCTTGCAGGTCATATATGTAAAGTAAACTAAGACAAAATCTAAATCAGCATGCTTATGTATATATTTATGTGTCTGTATATGGTAATGTATAAGTGCGTTGACTAAATATTGAATATTGGTACTGAGTTTTGTATTATATTCAATATCATCAATCACTTCTCAATACCAAGTATTGATCTCTCTCTCTCCTTATACATATACTCTCGGGACTTAGATATAGAGAAGTTTGTACGAAAAAAAGTTTATATACCTGTTTGTGTCAAGATAAAATATGAGATACGTAAACAGTGCCGATGAGAGATACTTCTGCTCCTTAGAATAACGATTCATTGTAAAACTAAAAAAGCTTTCAGCGCAATCCCTAACGGGATTAAAAATGTGAAACACGATCCAACTGTAGAAACTTTCAACACATAGAATGGTCAATTTGCTTTCCAGTGTGCATTCCTATTTGTTTAAACTTAAGCTGTTGAAAATAACATATCATTCTCAATAGTGATGTCCGCTGCTTTTTAAAAGATCTTCGTTTCATCGGTCACAATAAGTGATGCCTCTTATTGCACTTCCATTAACGGATCACGATCTGTGTCGAGATCTACGTGGGTCGACGTAACGAAGTTGAGAGTCACCCTGTCTGTAAGACAATGATATAGAGTTTATTTGCCTTTTCACATAACATCCTCTCTCTCTCTCTTACTTATCGGCGNCATTAAAACGAGTATCCGAATAAGATTGCACTTTGGTGGGTAACTTACTTTGCCGATGTGATCGACGAATATGTGCCACAAGCGCCTTGATAGATGAGAACATCTGCATAACTTCTCGCGTTCCAGAATGATTCCCAGTAAAAGCGTGTTCGATTAGCTTATTCAAATAATGATCGGCGCAGCCAATTCGTTTTGTTCCCGATTGAAAACAGCTTTTCATTTTATTCTCATTATCTGTTACAATATAACTGTCATCAGACAAACGCAAATTAAATTCGGCGAGACGATCGTCGACAAATTTTCGAACATTCACACTTGTTTGACTTTCAAGATCATATGGCGCTAGGTGGAGAATGAAAACGTGTAGTTGCCAGTTAGTATCAATATGATGAAGAGATATTCCGGCATAGTAGATTCCTAAACAAATAATGTACATATCGAAAATAGAAAATTTCTCATGCTTATGGTCGCATTATCTTACCGATGTGTCCTTCAGTACACATATCCATTGTGATGGCAAACGATTTCAAATTTTTCACGTACTCCAATAGTTGATCTCGTTTGAAATCATAGATCTTGTCGACTGTGCGACTTGTCTAAAAGCGAGAAAATCCTTTAAACTGGAACTAATGAATACATGAAGATGTCGTACTATGAGTGGAGAGGGTAACAAAACACTGGCGTCGATCGAACGATATGCAGAGTTACATGCACGACCAGCATAAAATGCCACCTGTATCATTTGCTGAAATCCAGACCCTTGATGGATTCAAATGATCGACCATCGAGAGCACAATATTCCCTTTTCTGAAAGAAAGGGTTATACAGCGTTTAAATGCTGTGCTAAAAACCTTAAAGTTTGTCTGTCTGTCTTATCCAATCAGAAATCAGCATTTCCAAAATCAATGAAATTGATCGATCGTTGTTAGAAAATTATTACCGGTAGGGTAATCGAGGTCGAGGAACTTGAATCTGAGGTTAGATTTAACTAATTATTAACTAGCTGTCAACTAGACCTAAATTATCAATATGCAGGGTAAGGATTGACCGAAGGGTAATCGGGGTCGAGGATCTCGAATCCGAGATTAGTTTCTCGAAATTACAATTAGTTCATTAGCTAATTAGCTAATTAAGCAATGAAATTTTTTTTGTTGTCGAGTAAGGGTTGACCGAAGGGTAATCGAGGTCGAGGATCTCGAATCCGGTGTTAGTTTTTTCATGAAAATTTTCTGACCCGTTTTTTGCGACAAAGGATCAATTTTTTAGACGATAATGTTTTAAGTGGCAATGTCTAGAACAAAATGTAACAGCTGACCGAGGTCCGATCGCTGGATCCCCATAGTCATCAGTATATTAATGAGATCACATACTTTTATAAACAGCTATACTATACGAATATCATCTGATACCAGTCATTCAAAATAATGTTTCGCTTTTGAGGTGTTGTCTTCGACAGTCACAGTAGCACAAAGAGGGTGACTTTTAAAGAAGGAATAGAGGAGAATGAATGAATTAGTTTCAAAAGTGACTCTAGAATAAATGGAAGAGTGAAAATGTACATGGAACGCCTAGCCACGAGTGGCCGACCGGAGTGAGGCCGACGAGCGACTAGTCGTCGATTTGCAGCATAATATTTTTAAGAACAAACTTTGTGATTTTTGTAGAGCTTTAAGATTTCTTGGTCAGAAATTAATCATTGCTCTGCACGAACATAGGTGGCAACTATTTAAGGTTCCTTGTGGTGGAGAGAAAATTGGAACCTTTTCCAGAGAATCATATAGCTGTGTAAACTTTCTAAGTTTTCGATTATGAATTCATTTTTCGAAATGTGCTCATTTTCGGAACGCGTCTTCGTCCGAATGAAGTTAAGATAGTAAAATGAGTAGGCATGGGAACAGGTAGCCGTGAGTGGCCGACCGAAGGGAGGCCGACGAACGACTAGTTGATTCTTTTGAAAATTAGCTGAAAGTGAGATTTATAAGACTGTCGCAAAGTGGCCATCATTTTTCTAAGGTATATATATATATGACATCTTTTAGAGTTTCAAGAAAAAACTATGTAGATCATCGACTTACTCAACAAAAAATGGTAATAAAAGATATACTGTAGGTCATGAAGCTGTGAAGAATTTCGGCAACTTTGCTAGAGACGGATTCAACAAGAGCGAGATACTTTTTAATATGAAAATATCATTAAGCACTTACAAGGTACCAACGGCTAGCGATGAGTGGTTGACCGGAAAGAGGCCGACAAACGACTAGGCGTTATAATCTCAGAAGATTTCAGGAAGCGAAATTGGTCTAGGTAAAACATTCTGACAAATTATCAAATGATCAGATCGTTCAACTGAAATAACTTTTTTTCTCTTCGGACGAATAGTAGCGCTCTAATACTATCCTTTCAGTAGAGGGTTTAGCGGCTACTACGCCGCGTTACTTGTAAGTTTATGCTGCACAAATCACGGTAGAAAATGTTCAGTCCTGTTAGCTTCACGATTGGATAATGAGTAGATTATGCGTGAGTGACATGCTACTATTGGATT